TTGTGACCAAATTACATATGCTATTTCACTTATTTATAGACACTTAAGAGACCCACTAGGGTTTTGAAAAGTCATTACACTTAAGTTAGGTTGTTCTTTTTAATTAATTTTCGTTTTTTGTTTACTACATATTTTATTCCTAGAATATTCGAGGGTTATTATTACACATACTTGTACGAAAAAAGGGAAAATTTCAATTTTGCTTGTTAAAATGAATACTCCAATTTATTAGTTTGATTGGACCTACTAGTGACTCATTGCGCAAGCATTATAAGTCAAACGTGTATTGAGAAAAAACTGAATTTATATAAGATGATGTGTCATGACACGTGGACCGGTCAAATAGTCAAAGCGTGGTAATCAGTTAGAAGGCACGAGCAACAACAGATGCGAGAGAGAAGATACTTAAAGGCACGAGCTATTATTCAAATGAAATGAGACTCGTACCTGTTCGAGTCATTTAAAGCTCGAAGATCGGAAGGAATTGAAGAAATGAATCTGATAGCGTAAAGGAGTCCAAATTCAACATTAAATGCCAAATACGTTGAGAGAATTTGTATTTAATAGGAATGATTGAGTAACGTTTCTTTTAATGTCATTTATTGCTCATAATTGCCTCATTAAGACAAAGGCATTACACTTTCTCCTAGAATTAACTATAAAAGGGGAAGGTCTCAACATATGTAGGACACGAAATATCATTGAGATTATACTGAAATATATACTTATTCATTGCTTTATTGTTGTTCTCAAAGTCTCTCATTTCTTGATTATCAGTAACCCGATTTCTCTCTTAATTTCTAGCTTTAACCAAATATTCAGTTTTTTGGTTAAACAAATTGGTTCCGTTACCGGGAATCTGATAATCTATTCTTTGTAAGTTACATTTTATCTGTTGTTATCATCATGTCAAACAACAGCAACAACAATAACGGTGATGAAAATCAAATCCATCAGAATCAAGGAGATTTACAAAACATTAACGTGGTTCCTTCCCCTCAAAATTCACCACATCAATCTCGTGAAGGTACTCCTGCTCCTGAATGTCGTGCTGATGAACAAGAGCAATCTGAACATTTTGAAGGGCCAGATGAAGCTTTACTAAAAGTAGTTGATGCACGGGTTAGCAAAGTTCTTCAAGCTCTAGTTAGTCGATTACCTATTGTACCACCCACACCTACGCCTAATAACAATACATTGGAGAATCCTCGTTCTGGCCTTGTTAATTCTGGAAATGGAGGAACCCCCAGTGAACCACAGGAAGGAGAACCAGATTCTTTTATTAAAGCGCACTCGGGAGCTCAAAAGGTTGAAAAAAGAATGGAAGACATTTTCAAAATTAAACAAGGGGACTCAGAGTTGCTTAGAGATTTTGTTGATAGATTCCAACGTGAAAGGATGACTTTGCCCCGTGTACCTGATAATTGGGCTGCAATAGCTTTTGCAAGCAACTTAAATGACAAAAGTTCAGGAGCCACGAGAAGACTTAAAGAAAGCCTTCGAGAGTTCCCTGCAACCACGTGGAATGCCGTTTATAACAGGTACAGTACGAAGTTGCGAATTGAGGAAGATACCGTACCTCAATTTCATCATGAAGAAAAGAGCAATTCTAGGAGGTCAGAAACCGAAAAAAGATCAGGGAATCTGGTTCTTCATCAAGGTTCAGAAATGACCGAAACAGACAAGAGTCACGAGATGATGACAGAAGTTTAAAGGCGAGATTCGGTGGATATAATTTCAATGTTACTACCTCCGAGCTCGTAGCTGTTTTGAGGAGCATGGGAGATAAGGTACGGTGGCCAAAAGAGATGCGGTCAAATCCAAATAGGCGCAATCCAGATCATTGGTGCGAATTCCACAATGATCACGGGCACAAGACTTCAGAATGTAGATTCTTACAAAGTGAAGTGGACCATCTGTTGAAACAAGGGTATCTCACCGAGTTATTTAGTGAGAAAGGTAAGCAAGCCTATATGAAAAATAGGCAAGAGCCACCAAAGCCCCCATCACCCAAGAGAACCGTGAATGTTATAAGTGGGGGAGAAGATATTCATGGTGTAACATATACGGCTTCCAACAAGGTTTCTAAAGTAACGATTACACACGGGAAACGGGTACGGCAGGTGTTTGAAAACGAAAATATTTCTTTCGATGATGCAGATACCGAAGGAGTGATGACCCCCCACAACGACGCTCTGGTAATATCTTTACTTGTACACGACACTAATGTAAAACGAGTTTTGATTGATCCAGGAAGTTCCGTAAATATTATACTACTAAGGGTATTACGTGAAATGCAAGCTGAAGACAAAATGATACCGAAGGCGCATACCTTGTTCGGGTTCGACAATTCAAGTGTGGTAACAAAAGGAGAGGTAATTCTAACAACTTTTGCTGCAGGTGTTGTTAAAGAAACTAAATTTCAGGTAGTAGATATGGAAATGGCTTACAATATGATCATGGGGAGACCTTGGATCCATGATATGGATGCTATCCCGTCAACTCTACATCAAGTTATTAAATTCCCGTCACCGTGGGGGATTTGCCAAATTCG